CTGCACTTTCTTTCAGAAGATTGAGACAAAAAAACAACCAAATTTTTTAGTAAAAACTGAAATTGACTAAATTAGGGTTCATTTTCAGAAATATTGAAGAATATAAGATAGAAGTGCAGAAAAATTTGAGTGGGAAAGCCTGGTTGCAGAAAGGTTAACAGACAGGTGCACTATCTCTTGAATACCAAATGTGCCAAAAACATGGAATTGCAATTAATGTCATTTTTAAATTTATAGTACATGTATTCATTATATTCACAGTATACTGAAACTCACTAAATTTTAAATAATAGCACTCATTGTTTCAGTGGACAACACAAGCATCAACAAACTTATGACTATACAATGTAAAAACACTGTAATTTGACCACCAAATAAATTTACTGTGTAACGGTAGCATATATTAACAGAATCCACATTGCAATCTGATAAAAGTTTACATTAAACAAAATATGTGCACATGTATTACCTAATTTACACAAAGGTATTTTATCAGAGCCCAACAGCACAAGAAGGATCAAGCCAGCAAAAATGACTATATAAACATGAGTTTGGCTTCATTTAATCCCTATAGTTGAACGCAGATAAGACTGAGCTGTTCCCAACTGCCTATTAAACAAGAACTCCCGATTAACGTTGCAGTTCCAGATCTGCTGGGCCGCACTCTGAACCATGTTTGCCCACAACCGTATAAACATACATGGAATTATCTCCTGTTACTACTATTCACCAATGCTGTACACTAGAAAGCACATTTTCTGACTAGCAAATTTGCTTGCTAACATGCATCATTGGTGTTCGAATGATGTATGCAGTACCGGTAGTAGTAATTGGTAAGAAACGTTGCTGTGTAAACCTAGCAAATACATACTTAAAGTGGCTTGGCCGAGAATGGAGGAGAATGGAATGCATGTATCACACACAGTTCTACAGTAGTAATAACACTTCATTTGTTGTAGCTGTAATCTACACAATTAGACAGTGTATAATAAACAGAAAAGTGAGAACCGACTGCGATGCATATCCTGTTGTTGAAAATGCTGTTACAGTAATACACGTCTGAGTTCAATAATTTTTAACCAAACTTTCTCCACAAACTTCTAAAAGTATACCACAAGCAATGGTTTTATCTGTTAACTACATGACCCTCACTCTGACTCAGAAAACACTTTCATTTACTGATTTATGGTATGTTCATTCATTTAAGTCAAATACATTATTATGGGTGTGTCCCTAACAATTAAATACATCCATAGCATCCACATAAAATACAACATTTCTATTTTAACTTGCTTATTGGTAGATCAAGTAAGAAAAGAAACCTAATAAAACACAGTTAAACTAAACATATCTTGCCCTATGCATGCAAGTGTGGGCAGGTCATAAAAAATATGGAAATTATTCAATTTGAAGGAATTCAAAAGAAAGTGTAATTTGAAATAATTCAAAAGAAAGTGTAATTTATAGTGTGTATTACGTACAGCAGAACAGAAACAAAAGTGTTAAAAATTGATTCACTCTATTAATTTAAGTTGAATGATCTTATTCTTCACAAAGTCAACACTATTGTTAGTTGTCTATCATAAACTTCAACAAAATTGTCTAATAACCTTGATTGGAGCAGGTAAATGCTTGAAATCATGACTGCACATCCCTCCCTATTTTGCTGAATGGTTTAGCCCAAATAATACCAGAACTATCCCTCTAATATGGTAAAACAAGTAAACAGTTCTTGTAGATATTTATTATTAAATTCATTGAAAATGTTAAAAACTGGAGTTATGAACAAAAAGATAATGGGCACACTTCATTGAAAACTTTTACAATGAATATTTTTGGAGTTATTTAGCCCAAAAGAAAAATTTACGATGACAACAATGAACAACAGATATCTTGCCACTACTATGACTTTCCCTTCCGTTTCCTTACGAGCAAGCCAAAAAAACTTAATATTCCCTGAACCTCTCAATCATAATGCAACTAACTTCGAACTTTGAACTTAGTTTTATTGAATGCTAAAATATATCAATAGTTTTTTTTATATCACTTACACTATAGTATGCAAACCAATAAATAATTTATGATTATTAAGAAGAAGTACACAGATGTTTATTTTTAATATAATGAACATTTAGACAACTGTTATTGTTAAATATTCTTTAAATTCTACCGGTAATTGGTCAGAGCAAAAATTGGCGTGGATATCCGAGAACTGTTTTATTGGTTTATTCTCCACTACCGTCTGCTAAGATGTGACTGGTGACTGCGAATACTAGTAACTGAATATGCTAATTTTTTTAAAACAATAGAAGACAGTTACATTTTCCTCCGCATGCTACAATGTATATTAACTGACATTTGGCACAGTGAGGAGAGTTCAACCACTTCATTCTTTAAGACATTGCAATAGATTTATATGGTTAATGAGCAACATATCAGCATTTTCTGAGGTGGAGAAAACCCAGCATGGACTCCTCACAGTGTTTGAAATGATAACTAATGCGGGCTACGTATTTTCTTTAATAAAAGCACATTTAACCAAATACTATATTTTAATGTATAATGGTTCATTAAAATATGGCTTATTTTGAACATAGGTACAGCTCTACTATTTTCATAAACACATACTGAGTAAATTACAAAAGATATACAAGGCAGCTTATGATTGGTTAACCAGCCCAGGCACCTTGTGAACAAGCCAATCAGGGAAGAGTTTTGACTGATTACTAGGCAAAAGCTCCAGACTTGCGTTGAGCACTGTGAAATAATCATAATCCTATAATATGATAATACTAAAATTATATGTACGAATCTAGGCTTTGACTGTTTTCAGTTATATTTATGGCTTTTAATATACATTATTATTATTAGTTTCAAATAGATGATGCAAAATTGACAAAAAATGTCATAAATCTAGAGATAAAAAATTGATTTTACAGAATATTGGCATTATAAGTCACATTACAAAATGCTAACGCGACATAATTACAACCTTCCAAATGCACAAATCAACAATCTTGTCATAAATGTATTGATTTGCAGCGTCCCTCGTCACTGCGCAGATGTACGTAGAAAAGCATTCTTTCAAGTGACAAACTGAACAAGTCAAGGCAGGGAGGTTATCAGAAATTTGACGCTGGATGATTGATTGCGGATAATCCAGAACTTTATTGCACGACCTTGACAGATTTGACGGGGAATCCACTGCATCCAATGTATATGATTACAGACGTGAGTAATCAAAGTATTCCGTAGAGCTGACACAAACACCACTGCAATCCCAGATCCCATTACATATGACACATACTCATGATTTAATATTCTCGGGGGCGGAGCTACATCAGAGAGCATTCTATGTTGTTGAGACACACATCACATGTACCGGTATTTCTCTAGGCTATGCGGTCAAAGTGAAAACAGCTAAAGTTAAACAGCACAAACTTAACTTTGAGATAAACCAGAACCAAATTTATATACATTGTACATATAAAGGTAATCTTGTTACACTGTTCAGAAGAATCTCAAAAATTTTCCCAAAGCACAGTTGTTGTGAGGTTTCGAACATTGTTTTCACTGGTTGTGGTATAATTCTAGAACACTGAGGGCGCTATACTCATCATACTATGACTTTTATCCTTGAGGGCGGACATCCGGGCATTTTCTATCGCCTGGCAACCCTCGCGGTGAAAACAAAGACCAAAACTTGCAGAAAACAGTACTTTGCAATGGTTATTGAGAGTCCCCTGAACAGTGTAACAAGATTAGCCCTACGTGTGTAACATATATGAATTTGGTTGTTCAGGATTACTTCAAAGTTGAGTTTGCGTTGTTTTCTCGAGTTTTCACTGGCTCCACCAGCATTCCACAGCAGCGCGCACAAAGCCCATAGAAATACGTGGTACAGTGGTGCGCATCTTAGCAACGTAGAACGTCCGTGACGTAGCTCCGCCCCCAAGGATAGACTTAAACACCACCCTGTCAACTAGGATACAACCAGGGTCTTATTCACATCTGTATTTTACTATGTTATGCTTTACAAAAGAAGACAAACTGATAATCAATATCAATACTACTACTAATATTTCATTTGTTGAGGATAAAACAGTAAGTTTATACTTGTGTGGCCAATCATAGAGACTGAGCTAGCCACACCCATACTATATATTATATCAAATCATCATGAAAACAACTAAAATCGATGACAAAATTCCATTCAATGCATACATACCAGACGGACAATCAATGCAAGCTACATATATATTATAAAGTGGGTTGAAAAATGTTTTTGAAAGCAACAGAACAACCGGGTAAATGCATATGCAGGGTGCTAAAACTAATCACACATAGGGAGTTAATGTCTAAGTTTTATACATTGATCAGCAAACGTGCACACTACATTACATAAGCAGCTGGTTTTATAAAAGTGGCAGTAAATAGAGTTGAGGATGCATCTGGGATTGATGTTAGTAGTAAAATATATACTGAACAGATCTTAGGATATTAAATATATTCCATAATAATATGCATCACTCAGATCACGATAAACTCTAAATAAATAAAATAAGTATAAAGGACACCACCATAAGTCCAATATAGTTGTTCTTTTGTTTTTATATCATAACAACTGTGAGGGCACAAGCATTTAATGTGAGTATTGAAAAGAAAATGATGAATAAATATTCACACACTTGAGTTAGGGAATATGGCGAGACAACCTACCTTAGAAGCACTACTTAGTGGTACTGTTCTTTTAGATTTTTTCTTTTTGATAAGAGTAAGAAAAGAAGTGGGGAAGACATTAATGCACCACCAAAAAGAACACAGCAAGAGTAGAGCAAGAAGAATAAACTGGAACTGGAAAAACAGGAAAGATTGGGAATAAGGCAGACTAGCATGCTGATTACAAGGAGCACATGAAAGAGGATATGGTACAGAGCAGAAAGGGATTTTTTTTAGTAATAAAAATATAAGATTAAAATATCAGGAATTGTTGGTTTTACCTGCGCCACTTTCTCTCCAACGTTATGAGTAGCGTCTTTTACAGGCTGAAAGAACTTATTGGATGAAACCGTTGACGATGCTAGTGGATCTTTCCTAGATTGCGCAGAATGGTGAGCAAGGTCGCAGAGGCTGGTTGATACTTTGTTGAGTCGATATTTCATCAGATCAGAGTCAGAGATCGCATTTGATAGGTTTGATTTGAGGTGGTTACCTGAAACTTGAAACAAACAAGTCCATGTTAGTATGAATACTGCTGACGTGTTAAAACAATTATTTTGTTTTTCTTGATAATATAGATGAGAAATGATTGCAGGTAATGCAGGTGGTAATTCTGTACTTTACACTAAAAAAAATGGCCACCAGTCGGCCATTTTGAGACCGATCTGACAAACAAAGAACGATCTGACACATGTAACAAATCACCTGGATGAAGATTGTCTGTATGGAAACCGGACTACCAGACACATGTATCAAATCAACTGGATCCAGATTATCTTTATAGAAACTAGATTACCCCACACTTGTACCAAATTTCCCGGATCCAGATTATCGGCATCAATACAGATTACCTTGACACATGTACCAAATTTCCCGGATCCAGATTATCTGCATTGATACCAGATTACCCCCAACACATTAGTACAAATGTACATATACTGGTCTCATATTAGGCATCAAGAAACAGAAAACTGTTACCTTTTGAACATGTTTTATGTCGATCACGATCTGTATCAACTCTTTCTAATGATGAGGTTTTTCTGAAACTCCTGTTGCTGCGTATACTATCTCTTGACCAGGAAGAACTTAAGTTTGATGGAGACCTACCCAGCTCAGCTTTTTCTTTTTCAAATTTTGTGCTACAGCTTTCAAGCTGTGAATTATCTAACGATCTACGTTTACTGTCTGAGGTACATGTAGTCCTATCACGTAAAATATCAATATTCTGTTCATTAATAGTGTCCATTAATGTAAATGATTTCTCGTCGTAATTCTCTGCACCACCCTCATTCTTCCTACCCGCTGGCGGCGTATTTAACAGAATGTCTTTAGATTGGGGCAAAAGGTTAAGCAAAGGGAGGGACGAATCTGGGTCATTCGGCGGCAGGGGATTCTCCTCGTCCTTGTTTTGAAGCCCTTTGTGTTGTCTGTAAAGTGATGGAAGCCGGAGTCGAAAAGTTCGGTGGTTATCTAGAAAAGATAATAGACAATTAGTGGAGAAAACAAACAAATTTGTAAGGCACACATGCATCACACAAGTGTGAAAAGTACTACATGCAGTCAACACTAAAGAGCAGCAGTTCCATTTCCCGTTGTAGAGACGAAGTAGAGATAAAAGTTTATTTGTATTGCAGATAAAACATAAAATGTTTCTCAATAAATCACTATTTGTGTTTAGGAGTGAGTAGTGATGAGTACATTAGTAGGGTAAACAACACTATGCTAATCATTCAAGCCATATGCATGAGAAGGAGGTCAAGCAAAACTTTTGAAGAGGAAGTATCATACAATGAGTTTTTAATCATGTATACTGGCAATTCTTGATTACACAAGAATCCATTTTGTGTTCAGTTTATTTGATGAATGGCCTAACTATGTTGTTTATATGTTTCCCGATAATCAACAAAAATATTATAGTAATAATTGTAAATTCTATTTTACCTTACACAATGCACACATGTAATAATAGTTTATTGTAAAATATTTTATTTTCGCTTGGAATTAATTTTTGCTATTTTCGCTGAAGGAATGATTCAGTGAAAATAAAATCCAGTGAATATACATGTACCTTTTTTTCTATATTTTACATTCAACTTGTTAAAAATCAGTGAAAATAAATTCCATACAAAACACTCTTGTCAGAAAAAATTAATTCCAGCTAAAATAAAGTTTTTTACAATAAATAATATTAAGAGTGATATTGCCCTCTATAGGCAGGTATTGATAAAACCTTTCTGTTTCAGTTTGGGTAGTGTAAATATTATATACCGAAGTAAAATTTTTTTAGAATTCTACACTAATAATTTAGCAATTATAACAATCAAACAATGTTTGAATTAAAAAGTTACAGTAAAAATTGGCAGGCATTAGTGAGCAAGATACTCCTACATATTAAATGTTGATTCAAGATATCTCATATATGTACCGTACCCTACTTACTCTACTGAAAGCAGTCCATGATCATTCCTATGGCTTAATTGGTGTCATGTGACTATTATGGGATATATTTAAAGCTTGGAATATGTGTAAATGGTGGGAGATATCTGGGGAGTCTTTGGATTCACAGTACTCCGATTTACTCTGAAGCGCAGTAATCCAGAATTGAAGTAAATGTGCGTTAGAATAGTTATACCTAAATCTGGTCTCACTACAAAGCAAATAAAATTCAAACAAACAATCAAATGAGATGTAAAAACAAATGCCACGTTGCAGACATGCTGGGAAATTATTGATTATTGTATGTTTTATATAATTTGTCATTATTCGTTCAAATCCACATAATCAAGTATTTCATGTAAGGCTTTTAAAAAAAGGATGTTTGTCTGGTCGCAAAATGAGAAGTGTCCTTTTTTCATGTTTGTTCACTTTTTTTTAACAATATTTTTTTTAGAATATAGAAAAGTCATGACATTGAGCTTTAGAACTGCCACACATGTTCTCACAAAAAAAAAAATATTTTTTTTGCCTAAAAACAAAACTTAAAGAGTGATCGCATTGAATGCAAGTAATGATCATGGATTTTGTTTTTTACCGGTATGTCCAGTACATGTATTATAGAGGATTACATGCATTTCAATTTAAGGTGGGATACCTACATTCTAGGAGTTGAAACAGTACCAGTATTTACTGATTAAAAATAAGATTTTGATTTACAACTTTATATATGATCTTTTAGAAGATTATAAAAATCAATGTTAAGAATAAGAATCCTGACAACTAGGCTAGTTATAAATCCAAATGACCATGTCTAAAAAAAGGTATTCAAACTCCCCTTACTCTAGAAAATATTACAGATTTACCCTTGAGTGTGTCATGTAGTACCAAACCATCATTCCCAGACATTTTGATTATGAACACAGACAGCGTAAGAAGTAATTAAAAATACAAAACATAGATGGATTTTATATGGAATTTGAAAGTCATTAGAAACAAAAAAAAAAATGCAATGATTGAAATCCAATAGAGAATTTACACTGAAATGTGATTATAGATTTATGTGAGTGTATCAGTGTGTATACAGTGCTCAGTGGTAAGAATGTATGATTTTTAAAAGTAAATTTTCTAACAATGAGAACAAAATCAAACATGCCTGAATAAAATAAACCTGCGTGATAAGCAGGATTAGAAAGTTGTTGGAAAAAAAGGAAAAAAAACGAACCAATAAGTGTTATTTAAATCCATGATGCATGCTTTGTTATTATTTGCAACGCGTAGTGCGCTTAGCTAACGGTCGTCTTACCTTTGCCGAATAAACGATTTCCTGGTAATTAAAATATAAAATAAGAGAATTCTTTTCATGGAGGAATATTCATTCTTTTATAGAGTACAGGAGAAGAATACACTACTGTTGTGACACGCGGAAAGTCATATAACTTGTCAGAATCCATGCATTACAAACAAAGCAAGGATACTATATTTACTGTTAGTAGCTTTTTTTATGACTATCTTAGTTTGTGTATTTGTACTGCATCAGTATTGAAATAGAAATGCTGTACAAAAAAAAGTCACTTGGCTGCCTTGAAAGAATCTAGTATTATAGATGTGCTGTGGTTGGCTGCCTTGAAAGAATCTGGTATAATAGTAGATGTGTTGTGATTGGCTGCCTTGAAAAAACCTGATATAATAGGCATGTTGTGATTGGCTGTCATAAAAGAACCTGATATAATAGGCATATTGTGATTGGCTGCCATGAAAGAACCTGATACAATAAGCATGTTGTGATTGGCTGTCATGAAAAAACCTGATATAATAGGCATATTGGGATTAGCTGCTGTGAAAAAAAACTGATATAATCAGAAAGTGTGATAGGTAGCCATGAAAAAAAAACAGATATAATAGGCATACTGTGATTGGCTGCCATAAAAGAACCTGATATAATAGGCATATTGTGATTGGCTGTCACTGAAAAAAAAACTGAAATAATAGATGTGTTGTGATTGGCTGCCATGAAAGAACCTAGTATACAGTAGATGTTTGCAATTGGCTGCAGTGAGTGATCAATGAATCTGTTACAGCCCATATCTTGAAAATAAAGCTGTTTCACTGCCCATCTTATCTCAGAAGGCTACTTATATTTTCTGCACCCAGTCTTGATGCTGTAATTGCAATCTACAAAAACTGGCTAATTTAGTAAGATTTCCACACTACTCATAGTGATTCACCAAAGAAAGATACAACATAAATATGTATAATCTGAAACTGAGAAATCGGGATAACACATTTGTAACTTTTGGTACTTACTAAAGCAAAGTAATGAGGTTTAGTTTGAAACTTTGCAAATTTAGAACAAGAACATCTACGAAACTATATTTCACCAATTCTAACAAAAATTCTAAATTCCAGAACCCATCGGCCAAAACATTTCTATTTGCCGAGAAATCAAAAGCTCAAAAAGTGTTCCAGTAATACCACCTACAAACATGCCTATTTCATACAAGCAACTTTATCAAGTTTTATTAAAGACAACTCCATGGTCAATTCAATTCCATCTTATATTTCAATACAGCATTGTGTACTTCATGATGGATATAAAACTATTAACAGATTCTCATCTCCATCTGCAAATTGCCAAATATGTAGATGATGAGTGGAGTGATGGTGAAGATTAAATTTTATTCCATGAAACGTACTTAATATTGGCAGGAATGTAATCTCCTATACTTCCATCTAATTTACGTAATATTTCCAGATATGCAATTTCTCAACATTAATATTATAAGATACAAATCTAGAATAATCAATGTCGCTTACTTCGTGATCGTTTCCATTTATATCCTGATGGCGTAGCCGCAACTGCTGACCCTGTTGTCGTGGAACTATTTGTTTCCTCGCGTACCGGTGCATCTGTAACATCTTCGTAATTAAGTATATACATAACAACTTCGTCATTTTCATTTCGCACAGGAGCTATTAACACACTGCATAAAAATGTAGACCCTGTAAATTAAATATAACAAAATAAATTATAACAACTCAAAAGATTTTATTTTTCTCTCTCTACCACTTTTAAAAGCATATCAAAACATTTGTTCAATAATGTTTATTTTTTTTTGAGGAGCGAATGTACAAAATTGTGATCCAGGCAGCAGAGGTCACAGCCGAGGTCACACCAGGCCTACTGTTTGTCATTATCTATTTCTAATTACTCTACTATGATTTATTAGACGACCTTTCAACCCCCTTTTAAGTCATCCATATCTAGAGAAGCTATTAACACAATTTTATTTTTTGGTAACTAAAATCCTTTTTCCCTTACAAAGGTTTTTATCAGTCCCAAGAGTAGCCCTCTTCAGTCCATTTCTACTCACAACATGAGGTTTCCATGGAAACCATAAAATGTCTAGAAACAAAGATGTTTTAACAGTTTCACAGGGCACTCACACATTGGATAACTACTATAATTACAGCATTAAAAAGAAAAACACGGCACACTTGTTACTCATAATTCCAACCACTTGTGATTTTACAGCAAATGCAATTGTCTACCTTCTACCAAGAAGCACTTTTTAGAATGCAAGGGAAACAAATGCTTAGAAAAGTATGGCCACTAGAGGAAACAAATAATCAATCACGATACAAACAGGTTCCTTATTAAACAAATCTTTATAGCATAGTTTTGATTTGTAATAATAGTTTTTCTCTTCGGATGTGATAAATCAGACTGATGTAATTATACAAGATCTATCATATATTTGAAATATATTCAACAAGTTTGATCAAACCTGGAGCTACAGAATACATTGCCTTATAACTATTTTTACCATAATCATCTATGTTAAAAGTTGATTTTCAATATGTTTGCATTTATATTAGGTTATTTCACAAGGTAAAATTGATATAATTGTTAATTAAATGAGAAACTGTCAATCCATGGAATTGTGGGAAATCATCTGATAATATAGTTAGTTAATTTTTTTATTGATTTGTAATGTTTTCTACGCAAAGTTTATTTTAAAACCTGAGGTAGCGAGTTTGGCATCTGTTCATGTTCCTATTGGCAACCCACTTTTCAAAGTTTGTGTATCATTTGCATATTGATGTTGGGAGAATTTAAATATCAGAAATCCAGTTGACTTGATTTTTCACATAAAATTTAGTCATTGATTTTCACTTTCATATCACATGCAAGTCTGACGAAAGAAAGTCTACAGATTTCAACAAAAAACAAGATTGAAACCATTTTTGACGTAGAGAAAAAAAAAAGGTTTTTGATGTGGATGATCTGATGGCAACACAGGTCAAATGATGTTTATGAACCAATCGTATTCCTTGAATACAAATCATTTATTACATTAATTGATGTAGAATTAAATAATACATGCATAAAACTTGAGAGAATATTCAGAGTATAGTTATCATATATAATATCAGTTTTACAAAATATTTAAAACATTTCACCAGGCATTTAATCATGAATAAAAAAAAGATTACCGGTAATTGCATTGGTTGAAATCTACCTGAACTGAACAGTATTTGACAAGCTAACTAGACAAACAATTCCACTGAACAGAGATCAATTTACGAACCCCATCAAATATTTACATAATCAATTGGCGGATATATGATATTTGTCAAACAGGGAGAATGAAAATAATACAAGCAGGTTAATGCAGAATATATGCAGTATCGTTAGGTTATATTCAAGTATATGTTTCAAAGACCATCTGGAACCCAGAGAATTAGCTTCATGGCTATACACTGCAAAGTGTGGCATAGACCAAACATTCAGGTCTATTGTAGTAAAACATTCTGTAAATAACAGATGATTCATTACATTGACTTGGCAATATAGACAATTATTTTTATATTTTTTCGTTTTATTGCAGGTTATAATTTAGTACATCAGTGCAAATATAATTGAGTGCTAATATCGTGACTAAGTGATACTTTTAACATATTTTTTGGTTCCTGAAAATTGAAAACAGCAACAACAACAAAATTAAAAAAGTCTTTAGTTATTATGAAAATTAATTTAATTTAATGTAATAAATTTTGTAAGAATCACAAGAATACCTGAAGAGATATTCTACAATGTAAATTACATACTCCAAATTAATCTGCAGACATGGTCTGTGAGGGCGCACTCACATGTTTCCGTCTAACATAATTTGTTTCAGCTAGTAGTATAACACATGTTAATAGACAGGGTTTTTTTACAAGATATAATACATAATTTACAGTTTCCTGAGGCAATAAAGCATGACCACACATTGTGTAAGGTAATCAGCAAAAAGTTAATCATTCTCATTATTTTTGGTTTGACTTCCAATTATATTGCAGGTATAACAAGATAATTTGATCATACAGCAATAACACACAGATTTATTATAGAAAACACCATTTCAAAAGCAATCAGATTTTTAAACAAATTAATCATAGCAGATTTCCTTGCTATAAACATAATAGTTATATTATTTTAGCCCCCTCCCCCAACTATTACGAAAACCATATAGCAATAAATGTGCAATTGCAAATCTAAATTGCATTTTTTTGTATTATTATGAGCAACACCGGAACCGAAGTTGCTAGGCTTAAAAGAAAATAGTTCAGTGCCAAAGTCAACTTTTGTCAACTAATTTTTTCTCAAAAAGTTTGGATAAGACATGAAGCAAATTACGTGCACTTGTTCCAAAACAACAAAGAAATTGTCCAAAAATATACAAAACTTGCGAGAAACATGGAACCACATTTTTGGTGATGGGGGAAAAAAATTGTGTTAAGCAATGCAGGATATGTTCACAGGATGCTGTGTAACTCAATGGTATTGAGTTCCTCATCAAAACAGATTAAAGTATTGAGTGGTAAAATACTCTTATCGTAAAATTGTTCTACGGTCTGGGCATCCTAAATCATGTTGACAGTTACAGTCACATCGCCATTGATTGTTCATAAGGAGCGGCCAATTCAGCAGGCCGTGGCAAATAATACATACCAGTAATATTTTTCTTTTTAAAAATGCAAATATTTATAAACTTAATTGCATGTGATAAAATAAAAGTAGGTTGGTTGAGTGGTAGTTGATGACGAGGAATGTATGTGGACAGGATGGATTGAATAAAGTTACAATTCCATCAATTGGTGATGTAGTGATAGATGAAATTGGTTAATGACACTGGCATGTGTCGCACAAATTCCTGTCTTAATAAACATTTGAACGCATGACTGTCCAATAATACATTTATGAACAAACATCCGATGTGGTACATCCTTATAGAGAACAAAATATATATCTCTACCATTTAATACGTAGTTATTAGTCTAGCAGATTTAGTAATTGTTGTTTTATATAAAATGATCTGCTACAATAATCAATACCCAGAATGAAGATGATACAGCAATACATGACAATTGCAGTGACTGTACACCTACAGAGTTTGGCATGTATAAAACACGCGTGACACAATGTCTTCATTATAACATGGAGGCATAATACCTCTATAATTATAACAACCATGCAACATTGACACTACCGCTATATATAATGAATTACCTTGCCCCCCTGGGAAGGTGAGAGTTTATAGAAGTCTTTCCTACGCTAATAATTACGGTTTAAAGAAAATATATTTTGTTAAGTTTGTTCAATCAAATAGAAAGCCCAACTGGTCTAATAAGATAGTAGTTTTGATGAGTAGAATGACACACATACACAGCACAACATTAATCACAGCACTGTACAAGCTTTTTGACAGGATGATGAGATAAGTGGATTATTTTGAAGTGTACTCAAAGATAGCTCTCTATGGCATCATAATCCTTAATTCTCCGAAATGTACGCCATTTATAATATTTTATCTATTCTATCAAGATGAATCCATTTTTTAACGCTTACATAATGCATCAATAACAGACAATTCATACATTTTTGAAGAGCGACGTCCTTTTGATCTTCGCATTTTAATGGCTATGCTTAATTCCATTAGTGATTACGTATTAATTCACCATTAGACAGTATTTAGACAATCTATATATAGCGTATATATATATAACATATATATATAACAAGACTCAGTTTTAAGCAAGTTTAATGCCTACCCTTAGAATCTACAGATCGACTCATAAAGCGCAAAACACACGGGTGGCAGTGCATGCTAATGTGTATTGTAGCCATTAGAAGGAATTACCCAAAAGAATTCCTCAATTTATGCTGGTTATAGGTTCCATAAACTAGAATGACTTGAAAGATAACACTTTAAAGAGAACGGACTGACAGAAGAGCAACACTCATACAGGCAGCAGTTAAGCTAAGTACATGTGTACTTACACAGCTTGAATATGTCTGCATTCTGAAAGAGGTACGAATTCAACACTTCAGTTTTAATTCTGACGACCACCAAAGTCAACTTTTGTCACCTTTCACAAAATAGTTCTATATACCATCTGTGCATATTAATTAGGTAATTTGCATAACTTTAACCATTTGAGCATCAAAGTCAACTTTTGTCACCATTCACAAAATAGTTCTATATACCATCTGTGCATATTAATTAGGTAATTTGCATATCATTAACCATTTGAACACCAAAGTCAACTTTTGTCACCATTCACAAAATAGTTCTAGATACCCTATGTGCATATTAATTAGGTAATTTGCATATCATTAAACTTTTGAATACCAAAGTCAACTTTTGTGACATTTCACAGAATAAAAATGCATTTTCTTTCATCAGATTTGATCATAACCTGTTGGTAACTATAACCATTTGGTTCAAAATTAGACAAATGAATTATAAAAAACACATAAAATGTGCATAATGATGCAATCAAACTTTGGCAGGAAATATTATGATATTTGATTGGTCAAATCTAATAGCACATTTGAATATAAGAACATTTCAAATATGATTACAACTTTAACGCTTGTAGCGCAATTTAATGTGCTTTATCACAGGTTCCAAGTTGATGTTCTGAAAGGCATATACATGTAATAGACCATGGAG